TGCAATTTTGTCCTTTAAAGGGGAAAGTCTGTGACTTTCTTCTTTAAGAGAGAAAATTGGTGTTTTTCTCCGCTAAAGGAGAAAATCTGTGTTTTTTCCCAGCAAATGGAAAACTCAGATCCCTGATTATCAGGCATCACCTTAAAGATGCCAAACTCTAAATTTAGGAAATGGTTATGTTGACATGGTTAAGTGGACAAGCGGGGACATGTCAAAACAAGCGCAATTTACATCTGCTTTAATACATCACAGGTGTTTGCAATTGATTTAACACACAGGTCATTATTTTACAAAGCACTCAACTAGGAACTCAAATGTAAGTGTGTTGCAATCTACTTTAGAACCTGAATGATTCTTAGCCAAATGCTTTAAATTAAGCAGAGGCTTAAGCGTTCACCTGAAATGCATGCTTTGCTTAATCAGTTACCACAATCACCAGCGTGGGATTATAACCAAGAGCCCTTTGCTCTAGAGCAGAAATTAGCAATATTTTTTCTCCCTGGGCCAGAGCTTGGGACCTGGCTCCCTGCCCTAGGTAGCAAGTCTTTGCCCTCACCCTGACAGGCTAGGGACGACAGCCAAAAAGCCCGAGCCTGGATTTAGTGGCAACACATAGGGGATGCATGTGCACCCCCTGAGAGCGCTGGTGTACCTCCTGTCAGGCCCCTGTCACCCCCTGTTTAGGCGACGGGAAGGGGCAGGCCAGGGAGCGGGGCCACCAGCAAAAGTGGCCGTGCCACTTCTGGAAGTGGCGCGGCCACTTTTTGGTCAGTGATATCAGCCATGGGGGCACATGCCCCTCCTGACAAGTTGGGGTGGGGTGGGGGCCCCCGCCCCCCCCCCCCCCGACTCAAGAGGCACCAGTTGCCCATGCCTGGATTGATTTGGTCTTTGCAGGCTAGTCTAACCTGCCTAGGTTGAACCAGTTTGCAACTGCACAGACATTGTCTCTGGACTGAGGAAATTCAGGCACATGCCTGCAGTGGCTCAGGCTAGAAGCAAGGCAGACCCTGCTGTGCCTGGCTGGAGCTCTGGCTAGGGAGCAGAGGGGAGGGGCATCTGGGATGCTGGGGGTATCTGGGTTAAACTTAAACCAGGAATGGTCTGGGACAGACTTTGCATAAACTGGTTTCACCCAAATCAGTTAAGTCTGATACTACATTCAACCACATTCATCTTAAACTAGTTTCAGCCATTTTGAAACTGGTTTATATGCACTTAGCTCATGTTCTGTTACAGGTTTAAACCAATTTCTGATCATTTAAACTGGTTTATGTGTAATGTCTGCCCCTAGCCATAAAGATCAACCTGCCTGCGCTTCCCTCACTACACTTATCAGCTCCTACCCAGCAAGGTAAATGCAGCAGGAGAAAGCAGCAGGAAGGGACTGGTGTCTTAGAGTGCTGCCCAATCCTCTGTGCTATTCTGGGCTGTGTTGGACCTTCCAGTTTCTTTGCAGGATGGAAGTGGCTGGGCCTGAGGGGGTATAGATTGCTGACCCTACTCTAAAGCATAGTGTCAATCAGGTTTAAGAAGGGTTTATCTCTTTACCATCTATATAAACATTTAGCTAGGACATTACAGAGCTATGAGGGTAACTGTCAGAAACTAAATTATGAATTCAGCTCTCTCATATTCCAGATTCCAAAATTCACACTTCTCCATATTGGAGTTTCTGTGGAAGGTTCCTGGGCCCAAAATAATTTTTGTATTTAATATGTTTTTCAGGGACACATTCATATTTGAAACCAGCAAAGGGTCTGCGTTTCTTTGCTAAAGATCAGAGCAGAACTGAACGTGCCACAGTGACATCTTGTGGACAGTGCATGCATCTAGCAGAAAGAGTAGCAGTGAAGAGAGGAATAAGTTAGGGGAAAGTGGGCACACACAAGGTAACATCCTTCTCTCTACTGTGGCTCCTTTGCATCAGGTAAAAGGCAGAAATAGCATAAAAGGAGCCAGAAAGCAGAAGACAAACATAAGGAACTCTCTCTCAAGGGCCTTTTTGTAGGGTATGGGGATATTTGGAAGAAGAAGAGGCTGCCAGTGGATAGGGGCCATCTAAATTACATTGTCTTCGTCCCCAGCTCTCATAGCACCCTAAGACTGAAAGACTCAAAAGGTATTTTAAAGTTCTGTTAATCCCCATATACTGTGGATTGTGAACTCATGCAGTACAAAAGCTTATCCATAGAGTTTAGGGGTTCTTTGGGGAAAAGCCTGAATTTGGCATAATCTGTTGAACTGCTGATACAGAAAAATGGAAGCATTTCACTAAAATATGACACTATCTGCCTCTTCAAGAGTATAGCACACAATCTGAATGCCTCATTTTTTTCCTTTTTGGCACCAGCAGAATTTTCAGGTTACGGAAATTTTGCACCTGTAACTATACCATACAAGGTGCGTCTAGTTGCCTAATTAACCATGCAGTAAATGTCTCAGTGTCTACACATGCACCTCTAGGTGCTTGAAACTAATAAATTACGGGTGGAATTTTTTTGTGCTTAGCAATGCATGGGTAGACACTGAGCCAGCTGGCTGGGGCTCAATGGTGCTTCAGTGCATGGGCTGCCTGCTGGCTAGCTCCACACCAAAGCACCCTTGTACCCCAAGCAGCCTCTCCTCAGCACACTGAGCCTGGTCAGAGCAGCCCTGGGCTGGCAGGCTGACCCCCAGGTCCAAATCAACTCTTATCTGATAGCTGTTTACTGAGTAAAATAAGTTTTGTGATCCCAAGTCCAGTAAGTAGTGGACATCACAAAGGTCTCCATTACCATGTATGGCCGTGTGTAGACTGAACGAAGGGCATGTGTGCACGACACTTTAAAGTGGGTTAAATGCTTTTGCACCACTTTAATGGTGTTGGTGTTTGCATGTGTTGGCAGCATATTGTCCAGTAATTCCAGCTGCTGTAGCAAATTCGGCGGTGTGATGTGCCTTAAATGGCTGGAGAGTTTTAGTTTGCTGCCCTACAGCCGCAGAGTGAAGCACCAGGGTCCATGCAGCTCAGGGGCTCTGCAGGAAGCCTGTGCAGCTGGGCAGCAGGTCAGGAAGACAAGCTATGCCCAAGAAAAGAAAAAAATATCAATCTTTTTTTTTTTTTTTCCTGGAGCCTGCCTGCCTGGATGAGCTGCAAGGGGGCCCGGTGCTTCCCTCCACAGCTGCGGTGCCCCCTGGGACCACCTGAGCTGGGTGTCTGTGGGTGGGTGCCACTGGGGGGTGGGCCACTGCTGTCATGGAGGGAAGCACCAGCCCCCGCCACCTGCAGCCTGGGAACCACTCTGCCCACCGGCATCTCATCCTTCCCTCCCTGCTGCCAGAGAGGCAGGTAAGTGGGTGTATGCATGACACAGGTATTTAAGGGGCCCTAAATTGAAGTGGTCTTTTTAAAAACCCACCTTCAATTTAGGGCCCCTGTTTCATCTACAGACACCCTATCACTCCAGAAGGCAAGGAGTAATATAAACAAAGATTACTTTCTTCTTTCTAAAGACAGATCCTCCAGACCACAGCAACAGAACAGACCTGTGTTATCACAGTCCCTAGATAAAGAGGTATATTATGAATGCCCAGGGCTGTTACTCTGGCATCTTTTAAAGGAGTAAATATGCTGAAACTACATAATTGAGTTGAGGAACTAGTGAGTTCTATCATCTTTTCCTGGGCAATAAACAGGCTGTATAACAATCTGAATTCAAAGTGCAGTCCTGTGGGCAGGTAAGTGCCCTCTTACCATGTAATATGAATTTACATGATTAGATGAATAACTCATTTGCAAAATAATTATAATCCAATTTCTACTGATACTGTAGGAAATAATTCTCACTGGCCCAATAAATAATAACAGATGATCTATCTTTTCTATAACAACTTTCCAGGGCTGTAATTCTGAGCCACATTCATCTCACCTTAGGCACCAAAGTAGTCTCTACTTCCTCCACTGGGACTGCTTGTATGAGTTATGCAAGAAGGAATTTCTCCTTATGTGTAGCAGGGCCATGAAATTCATACTTAGTTTAACTTAGATCCTCCAAAGATGTAATGTGCTGATAGGTTCCTTCTATAGTGTAATTATTTACTATCTTGCTCATTATGTCTTCCAGGAGGTATCTATCCAGGAGGCTGTTACCTAACACCCTTCTGACTCATTACCTTTTCAACAATCACAGAAGTATTCATTTTGCCTGGCTGTAGCTAATAATGACTTTGTTTCAGATTACCAAATGTTGTGATGCATGAGAATATAAGGATGAGATTTCATGGGAGAAGGGAAAAAAAGACCCACAGGAGCCTTTTTTTTCCCCCTCTTAGGTGGCTACTGGTGGATTTAAAGACATGATAGTCTGCTTCCAGATGAATTAACATCACTATTTCTCATAAACATCACAGGACTAGAAAAGCAATGTCCATATTAATTCAAACCCAGAAGTGGTCAATCCTAGTAAATATAAATACGTATTTGCTAAAGTAGCAATTAAAAGAAAATCATGGGAAGATGTCTCATAAATAAAATGCAAATTGCTGACATGCTTAATAATCTTCCCAGTATTCTGATGGAGAGCTAGGTGGTATCTGAACAAGTCTGGCAGTGATATTTGATTGTTAATATATTTTCTTTCTTCCATTTTACAGGCTGCTGCATTACATAGTTCACTGTCTAATACAATCCAAATAAATCTCTTCATGTTACAGAGAATGAAGTGGCTTTTTCTAACAGTGGCAGTAGGGACTCAGAATTTGGTTTAATATTCAGGGCAAATAGCTCCTAAGAAATGAATGCACTTATTGTAAATAAGAAAAATATTCCCTGCACATCAGTGCGTATTGGCATGTTAATTTAAATCCTTCTGCATTCCCTAAGGCTGGACTAATCAATTAGCTAACATAAATCATTGTTACTTATGTGAGGGGGAGAAATGAAGCAACTTGTGTTGCACTGGGAACTCTTCACGTTGGTAGTATGTAAAGAATATTTTACTGCACAGAAGAATTCGTACCTCTTTGCCTGGATTCCTGTGGGGTAGTATCGGGAGCAAGATATCCCATCCCAAGCACAGTATGGATCCCTAGCTAGGCAGCAGTCCGCGCAGGCTGTGCCATACATGTCACACTGATGGAACTTCACTTGCACCACGACAGACTCGGATCCAACATAGAGTTGTTGCTGTGGAAATGAACCAGGTACTACTTAATGAACAGGTCTTCCACTAAGAACCACTAAAACGTCACAGAGCATCAGATTTACAGTTGCCCAGGCAACATTAATTCTACCCTCCCCTGCCCCCCTCCTGCTGGGGCATCCAGTGCATGGAGTAAATGAGGACAGGGAAAAACAAAGGATAAAATCATGTGATTTGAAGAGTGCAATGTAATGTATGTGCACAAAGGAGCAGAAATAATGCCGCTTCTCCAAACTTAATTGTGGCATGACTTAACTTCTGAGTGGCTAAATTTGCAACCTTAAGGTTCCATTTAGAATAGCTTCTCTCCCTCCCTCCTTCCCTTCCTAATATACATTTCCTAAATATTTAGAGCAACAAATAGAAAAGCAACAATTCCAAATATTCCATCATGCTTGTCAATATGGACCCCAACGTGGGATATCAATGGGGGTTTCATCTTTAGATCCTCAGCACAGATCTTTACTGCTCAAACTGTACTGCTTGAGCTAATGGAGAAACTCATATTGGTAGTAAGCTGATTCATGAATTTGGACCAACACTGAATGAGGATAAAAGCATGCCACAGCTATTTAAGAGACAGCAGAGGAAAACTGTGAATCTAAACACCTGAGTTCAACTCCAGGAGTGGTTGAGGAACAGGATCAAATGGTTATTAAGCCCTCTTGCCACTCTCCTCATTAGCTTGTACCTGTCCCATTGCATTTTTAGCCACTGCTCCCTCTCCTGCCTTTGTTGTCCCCTCTTCTAAGTCTACTCTATTTGCCCCTGCCTTTCTTCATCCTCTCATTTTCCTGCAGTTTCTGCCTCTCTCCATACTTCATTTGCCCCATTCCCTTTTTTCATACCTGTCAGCTCCTTCCCAGTTCCCCTTCTCTGCCCTTATAGCTCTCCCAGAAACTCCTAAGCCTGATCCCCTGCTATTCTCCTCCTCCCCTTTCTGCTGTTTGTACAGTCCCCATCTATGCTACTCCTTCCTCTAACCTGTCCCTCCCTCATTCCCATGCTCCCACCCCTACAAGCTCTGTATTGATCTTTATCTGTTCCCATTTCCTCAAGAACCAACAACTCCTGCTCCCCTTCCCTGTTCGTACCTCTCAGCACTTAAATTAGATTGCTTCCTTTTCCTCCTGGCTGCAAAAATACTTATGAGAGAACATTGAGAGAGAGTCTCCCTGCTCTAAATTCTGACACATCTCTGGATCCTGGGTCCTGGGAAGGGCAACTGCTAGGAAGAAGCATGCTAATTTGCTCTCTAGGAATGGTTTATGCACAATATAGACAGGAGCTGGGGCATCCTCAATTCACTTGAGTAGCTTGATTCTAAGAAGTCTCTATGAACTCAGATATTTTCAAAGGCTTAACCTGGCCAAATGAGGATAGTTATTCATGTCCTCAGCAAAAGCCACATCTCCAACACTAAGACAATCAATGTGCCAAAGGTCAAGTCCCCGTTTCAAGCAGAAACATGCTAGACAGTCTAATTTTTAAGAGAATGTGGCTCACCGCTGCTGGAACCTGCCCAGTCCTTCTGCCGGACCCAGGGGTGTATGCAGCGGGGGTCCCATGGCAGCCCGATCCTCCCTCTCCCACTGGTAGTGGCTGAGTGAACCATCATGGCAGGGGGAGGTGAGGCACCAGCCTCAGGGGCTGCCATGGGCCAGTTGCTGCCTTTGTGACTGGGCCAGACCAGACTGCACTCCTGGGCTGCAGGGCTGGATTGGACTGGGTGGTGGCAGTCCATTGCTTTCCCCCACCGCTGCCCATACCCCTGGCCCACAGCAACCCACCCCAAGTGCTCAGCATCACCACAAGCAGGTGGCAGGAGACAGGTGTTTCACTTTCACCTGCTGTGGTAGTTCGCTCCACTGCCGCTGCCAGGAGAGGCCGGGGAGTGGGGAGATGTGCTGCAGCTGTACTCTGCCTACAGATTGCAGCCTATGGTGAAATGCCATCTCAGTCTCTCCCCAAACTCTGCTATCAGGCTTATTACCTATCTGACAATTTGGTTACCATGGTCACTGCAGAGGGCAGGCACCCCTGCCCCCATCTGCTGCAGGTAACCCTGAGTTGTAACCTGAACTGGATTCATTCCGGAGGGAGGGGGGAACCTGCTCCCTTTGCCTACGTGACTGGCCTCACACACGTGGGTGGAGGGGCTTAAACTCCCTATTGTTCTAAGTCCAATGACATCATGACTGGGAGAGGGGCTAGAGACTCTGCCAGTCTACCCAGCAACCAGTGACACATTTCAAATTGGTTGGCTGACAGCCAACAACTGCTGGCCTTTATTGGATCAGGTAATGAAGTTATAAGATCTATATAAGATAAAGACTGTCCAGGAGGAGTAGCAGCAGCCATGATGAAAATGCTGAGGGTAGCTGAAGCTTAGCAGCTCTCTCTCTCTCTCTCAACACATGGATAACCCTACGAACTGCCTGCCTCCCCAGGAAAGCTCTGTCAGCCTCTGGATGATACTTGTGAGTATGGTACTTGAAATCTAACTATATATATAGTCTGCAGTAACTCAGATGCATGATCAAAGGCTACCATGCCACCCTTTGCTCTAAGGTCTTTCGCTGATATTGCTCTACCCTGTACCCTATTCCAAACCTACTCCCTGTAATCAATAAAGTTTTCCTCTGTACCTAGTGTGGGAGACTTATTGGGAGAGGGTCTAGATTATGCCTTGGGGCCCCCTGGGTCCGGCTGACTAAGGGAGACCACTATTTGTGCTTCAGAATAAGGGAAGCACCCCAGGTTCTTGCAGTGAGTTGAGTACCTCCTTCAGGTCTATAGAGGCTGTGTACCTCATGAGGCACAGAGGCACTAACAGACTGAGACTCATAAGTGGTGGCAGCATGACCCCCAGGCTTGTGGGTATGCTCCAGAAAGGGGGTCAGCCAGATGTGAGGCACCTCCAGGGAGGCACTTGGAACTTGGTAGGTGATTGGGCACAGTAAAATGGGGGGCTCAGTAGGAGCACTCGCTACTGGCCCATCACACAGCCCCCCATGTGGGGCTGGAGTGGGGAGGTGGTGGGCACTGACCCCCAGCCTGGATTGTGCTGCCACAGCAGGAGGCAGTAGTGAGTCAGGCTCCCCCACCTCATATGCAGACCCAGCTCCCACACCTCTCATGCAGGCAGGTCACATCCTCCCTCCCTATGCCCTCCCTGCAGCCAGCTGGTCGCTTCTCAGAGGGACTCTGCTCAGGGCACCATGTCAGTGCCCCCACGTTGCTGCCTGCAATGGTGGGGGGGGGGTGGAGAATTAAACCCACCTGCCCCTTCCCCTCAGGCTACTGGTATCTGACTGCTGGGGCCCTGGGTCGATGAGTGGAGCCTATGAGTGCTGATGCCACCCCACCCTGCTGATTAAACCTCTCCTCTACTTCCCCTCAGGCTACCGGGGTCTGGCCCTGCCCCTGCTTCTACAGCTGATGCAGTGAAGAGGGTGGGGGGCTGCTTTCCCCCCCACTCAAGGCAGACCCCTACTTGGGTCCTTGCAGGACAGGGTGGGGATTTAAACCCCTCCCCCAATCATACTCAATCCTGCCTGGGCCTGGCCATGTCCCTTCTTTCAGCTTAGTTTTCCTCCAGCCGAGGGCTTGCTCTACCACTCCTGGGCTTCTGACCTGAGCCACTACAGGCATGTATGTGCCTGTATTTCTGGGGTCAAAAGTGAATGTTTATTCACTTGCAAATTGGTTCAATCTATACAGGTTAAACTAACTTGCAAAGATTGAATCAATTCAGACTCTGGCTTTTTGAATGTCTGTCCCTAGCCTTAGTGTGGAACTGAGTGTGTGCCCTCAACACTGCTCTCCATTATCTTGCTCAGGTGTGCTCACTGCTGCACTAAGGTGTCTACCTTGCCCTGATTCTGCACATGCAGAGCAGGGATGAGAGGCTGGGATGTATTTCATGGTAGCTGTCTCAAGCTTGACATGGAGACAATGTAAATATCCTCACAGAGTCATAGACTTCAAAACAGAAGAAGCTGGCTGTCACCCTCCCATACAAACAGGTAATGTAGTTTGTCCAAGAAACTGAACTGAATAATAACTAGGACAGAGTGACTGAGGCACTAGCCCTGGGAACTGATTTAAAGGGGATGCCAGCCATATTCTGCAGTGCTGTTAACACCTTTTACCCCTACTCTCATAAAGCCCCTGGAATTGAAGCATTGAACTGCTTTTACAAAAATATCTACTCTCATTTTGAAGACTCCAAGCTACTGGGAAGCTATTCACTTTCTCTGGAAAGTTGTTCCAGGGTTTAATTATTCCCAATGTTAGGAAACTGCATCTCACTTAGAGGTTAAATTTATATAATTTCAACTTTTAGCCTGTTGGTCTAGTTATACCTTTGTCTGCAAGACTGAAAAGCTCCCATTATTATTAGACAAACTACCCCTCAATCTTCTCTTGAATAAGCTAGAAAGGTTGACGTCCTCAAGCCTCCAAGTCATGAATCATTTCTCTTTGGACACTCTCCAGGACTTTCACATCCTTTTTGAAAGGCAGACACATAGCTAGACACAGCATGCTAGTAGCCATGTTACCAGCTCTTCATGAGAGGCAAGATTGTTTCTATTTCATACCAGGATTGTACTGACCTTTTCTGTCATGGCAGGTCATGTTGAAGACATGACCACTAAGTCCTTTCCTGAGTCATGCATGTCCAAATGAGTCTCTCCATCTGGTAGGCATAATGTACACTTTTTTGTCCCTAAACATGCTACCTGACATTCCATTGTATTTATATTAAAATCTGTTTTATACCAGAGGTTTGAACTAAGATTTAGCCATCCTGTGTTAAAATGAAGATCAGGACCCAGCTCAGGCTGGTGTGGAGGCTGCTACTTCAGTGCCCTCTGCAAAAGGATCAGTGAGGAGGAGCAAAGAGTTCTGTTGAGCAGGCAAACATTCAAAAATTCTCAAAATCCCCTAAGCTTCCCTAGTAGGCGGCTAATAAATATGTAGGTGGAGAGCACAAAGGAAGATCTTACAGAGAAATTCCCTGGTGCCTGTAGCCAATCCTCTTATATTTAACAGCAACAAAGTTTTTCTTTAGTCTTCATGTTCCTCAGGCTATTCCCCCGCTGCAATTATTATGCCAAGAACTCATGTACCAGGTTGATTTTCCCTTGCTTTGAAATGGATGATACTGTGAACCCAAAAGATTTAAACAACTTTGAACACTAGCTCTGAACAACTTAAATGTTTCACAAACAGAGCAAGAAAAATTATAAGTTTATATTAAAAATGATCATATGATACTGGAGCGTCTCTCATTACACATGACGTACAGCTATGCAGAGTTTAGAGCTTTGTCACATTTCAATCATGCAATCATAGAGGTTCAAAGACATAAAAATACTTGCCCTCTTTGAAGAAATTTCCATAGAAATAATAGGAACTGGCACCTGAAAAAAAAACAACCTTTACTCTACATGGAGACCAAAAGAACTGCCTTGTTTATCATGGAGATCAATTGAACAGAAAGAGAAATTATTGGAGAATTTACTTATGTATACAGTTGTACTCAAGTGTTCCTCCCTCCCCCATCACTATTTTATCAAGTCACTGTATCAAAGTAAAACTGATGAAATAGATGTTTTTGAAATCATTATTTTTAAACAGTGATGTGAAAAAAATAGACATTTCATTCATAAAACAGTATCAAACTCAACCTGGAACACATTTGTTCCTATGCCAACCATAATGCTAGTCCATGCTTTCACTGATTTCTGTTGTCTTTCTTTGATAAGTACAGACAGTCAAAAGCCCTGAGCCTGAATTGATTCAATCTTTGCAGGTTAGTCTAAGCTGCATAGATTGAACTGATAAGAAAGTAAACAGGCATTCACTTTTGATTCTAGAAATGTAGCCACATGCCTGCAGTGGCCAAAGCCAGAAGCCGGGAGGCACTAGAGCATGCCTCCTTGCTTGTCTGGAGAAGACAGCTTGGGTCAAGGCTAGCCCACCCACCCTGTGAAATGAGTGTTTGTGGGGGAGGTGCAAAGTATCCTGGGATGCTGAGCGACCGTGAGTTAACTTGAATCTACAGGAGACAGAAGTTCAATAAATTGATTTAACCTAAATCAGTTAAGCCTGATACTACATCCATCCAGGTTTATCTTAAACTGGTTTTGACCATTTTGAAAGCATTTTATGTGCACTGAACTTCTGTTGTGTTACAAATTTGAACTGGTTTCCGAGCACTTATATCAATGTACGTGCAATTTCTGTCTGTAGCCCTTTAGTATAACAACCAGAATGGCCTTTATAAGTCATAAAAGGCAAGGCAGACAAGGACAGTGTTTCATCAGTGAATTCTTCCTCAGGAAAGCTTACGCATCTCTGATTCATTTGGCCTTCTGCTGACTTCAGAACTACCTCTCTGTACTTTCTATATGACATATTTGTTATAGACAAAATTAACAGATCATGGAATTTTTCCCTTTGTCTTCTGTTGAGATTTCTTGTGGCAATGGCAGAAGGTGGCTCCTAAGACCCTAAAAACTGGCCCTACTAAAGGAGCCAAATCCTGCAGTCCTACTATAGGAATTAAATAGGATTTCATTCCACCTATTTTACTACACATTAACAATGATGATCATATTCTTTCTAAGGCAATACAAAGTTTGTCTGTGTAGGGACATAGGATTTGGCTCATGATAAAATATATTAAATCTTTTCCAGGCCATGAGTTTCTGAACCACTGGGTTTCCAGAAAACCTTCAATTTTGTACCTGCAATTACATTTGAGTGTAATTATGCCTATTTTGATGTTTAACAGCCCATTTGGGGGGACACAATCAAGCAGTTAAACTTCTCATTGGAAGTTAGTTGGCAAAATTGGAAGTTCTGGTTTAACATTTAAAGCATTAAGTGAAAGTCCTGATTTATTTTGGGGCATTCAAGATTTAGAATGCAATTCCAGTTTAAATGAACCTCTGCTTAAAATATGGATTTCCTGTGGAAAAAAGAATGACTGTCTCATGAAGGAATTTCACTGCACTTAGCTATTGCATTTCCATTCATACTACTATGTTGTAAACATTTTAAGTCTGAGTACACCCCAGGCAGCTGGATATATGTTCCCTACATAGAGTATTGTACCTTGAATACTTGAAGTTCTTCAAGAATCACTTCTTCCATTGATTCTGTGTCCTGGTTGTAAATTGTAATGACTTTCAACACAATCCCATTATCTGTAAGTAAATAAAAAGCACCTTAGAAGTTAAAATTGTTATTCGTTGGTTGACAAAGATCAGAATGCCTCCTTTGAAGTGAATACTGAATAGACGAGAAAATAACAATTGCAATAATATTTACATATTATTTATGATTGTATTGCCTGCATTGGATATGCTTCTAACATAAAAATACACTTACATCTGACTGGGAAAGTGAGACCTAGAGAGGTCTGGACTATACAACAAGTGAGTGGGATAAACAAGTTTCCAACAAGGTGTCTCTCAATTCCATGGTTTAGTCCAGACCAGGAGTAGGCAACCCCTGGCAAAGGTGCCAGAGCGTTGTATATAGAGGCATTTTGCTTGGCACCTGCACGCTGATGCAATGGTGGGGAAGGGGCCAGGTTTGCACTGCCACAACAAGGATTGGGTCACTCATGGCTCCCCTGCCATCTGTCCCTGGCACTCTAACATCTTACAAGTTGAGGTTGTGGGTGTTTTTGGCACTCTGTCCAAAAACATTGCTGACCCCTGGGCTTGACTAGTTATTCCCAAAACATAGGTCATGGACTACTTGTGATGCAAAAGTCTTCCTCCTGCAAGCGGTCTTCAGCTGATCTATGCATTAGACTCCTCTCCTTTTCAATTAAAAGCGTGATAAGTATATAGAGGGCTATGACCATTCCTGAGGACTGGTAAGTGATCTCCTCAATGTATTAATTAATAAATTAACACTTTGGTACAACAGGTGGGCTCCCTCACTTCAGTTTGGTCTTGTTCTGATTATTAAAGACCCCTTATTTTCCTGAAAGCTGCATGTTTGTCATCACCAGTGGTACTTTCTGCTTCCTGTCTCCTGTTATTGTCACTCATCTCTGATTTACAGGGGGAAAAATTACCCTGACAACCAGTGAGAAAAAAGAACGTTCAGAGAGAGATCAAAGAGATGAACATAAAGAGCAACCATTAAAGGGGGTCAGACAGCACTCCTCAAAGAGAAAATGTTATCAAAGAGGTCCATTTTTTGAGAGAACAGTTAAAAGGATTCACTGTCAGGGACTCGGATGTTCATAACTAAGTCTCCCTTATAATCCTGCTGACAGGCATGTTGTGGAATGTTATCCGTGTAGTTCAGACTTCCTCTTTGACAAGCCCTTCAAACCTATTCCAGCAATGCTAAGGAAACCTTCCATACATACAATAACTCCATACATTAATGCTGTGCTACAAATGCTGGATCCAGGTACAGGAAGTTTGGGCCCCTCCATTATACTTTTGGCAAGAGCACCCCTGAGCTTTGAAAAGGGATGTTTTGCCAGAGTAAAGAGTGCAGAATTCAGCTAAACGTTTCTGAGTCCAAGATTCCTATGCTGACACCCAAGAACAGACTTTAAAGGGAAGAGTAAGCAGCAGAAAAATGCTAGTCCAGCAAAACACTTATGCACCTACCTAGGGAGTGGTCTCACTGGCTTCAGCTTTGTTAAATCATAGGCTTATTTACTTTTCTGGCTATGCCAAACACTCATATAAGTTTTAACCATAAATGCAAGTGTATAGTATACAATATATTGTCAGCATTAGAAAATACACCCTAGAAACCTAAATGACATACCCTGTGATGCGATACATTTTACCACATATTGGAACCAAAAGATCTAAGTAGAGAAAATCCCATTAATATAAAATAAGCTTTGTGATTCTCCTATGTCACTTCTTTTATTGACTTTATACAGCAAAATGTGCTTTCCTTCTAAATTTCACTAGTCAAGAAATAGCCTACACTAAATGCTTTTTTTGGCAAAATGGCCATTAGCGGCCGGGGGTCAAGTAATCATAGAAATTACTATGATAAAATACGGGACGTTTGTCTTTTTGGGTTATTTCCAGATCAGTCACATATTACAAAAAAATCAAGGGTATTGCCAGGCTTTTCTGATATTTTCTTAAGTTCTTATATAGTGAGGCTTTAAAGGATAATGAATGGTCTTTGTGTCTCTCAGATTTAGAATTATGCAGACTCATGACATATTTTCAAGTGGCCTTTTTAAGACTTGCCTTATAGGTGGTAAAGAAATCCACTTAAAAGATAAACGAGGCAGATTGAGAAGCCAAAATGCATCTCGGGTGCCTGGCAGACTGGCAAATATTGGCAGAGCTCTGAAATTTTGGAGGGGGACCATGTCTGGGGCAGCTGTTCCTTCCAGTAATTGTCTTGGGCAACACCCTCAGGCAGATCTGAAAACAGATTGCTTCTGTTAACAAAGGCAACTAGACCTAGGGTTCTAAGAGGTAGAAATGAAGCCAGCAGCTTGCATTGACATTTTGAAAATCCACTTATTTCTCTTGGGTCCAGATCTCAAGTTTGACACTGAATTGGCATCCACGGGATCTACTAGGTGCTCTGCAATTTTGAAAAAAACAGGTCATTTAGTTAGCACCCAAATGTAAGTCTCCCATTTTTGAGGCTAGAGACAGAAGTTACACATAAACCAGTTTAAGTGATCAGAAACTGGTTTAAACCTGTAACCAAACAGAAGCTCAGTGCACATAAACCAGTTCCAAAATGGCTGAAACTGGTTTAAGATAAACCTGGTTGAATGTGGCATCAGACATAACCGATTTAGGTAAAACTGGTTTATGAAACTTCTGTCCCAGACCCCTTCCTGGTTCAAGTTAAATCACAGTTCTCCAGCATCCCAGGATGCATGCTGGGCTGGGCTGTGCTATCTGCTCCAAAGAGCAGGGTTGGCCTCACCCCTCTGCTCCCTAGTTGAGCAGTGAGGGCTGGCTGACCACAGGGTGGGAAATCACACCTGGGTCTGCTTGGGGTGGAGGGGGGACAGCCCCTGCCAGACTTTTCCTCGCTGGAGTGGAAGGGGTGGGGGCGTGGGCCATCAGGCTCAGGCAGAAGGGAGTTATGGGGATTTAAATCCTCTGTCCTGCTGGCACAGGACCCCAGCCATGGTCTGCTTGGCAGGAGTGCAGCAGCCCCTGCCAGGCTATTGCCCACTCACCACTGGAGCAGGGAAGGTCTGGGGAGAAAGCCTGGGAGGGACTGCCACCCCAGGCAAACCCCAGTTGGAGTCCAGGGCCAGGGAGGGGGTTTAAACCCCCTTCCCCACCCTGGGTCAATGTGCTGGTCCCAGGCTGGGGTTTGGCCATGCTCCCTGCTCTCCACTTGAGTGGGGAGTGGGGCACAGGGGGGCAACAGCCTGGGAAAGACTGCTACCCACCCCCTGGTAAACTTGAGGCCCAGGGCCATCACACTGATTTGGGGAAGGGGGTTTAAACCCCCTTCCTGGCCTGCACAGGACCCTGGGGGTGTAGCTGGGGAGGCAATGGGGTGGGTCTTGGGGAAAGGAAGCTCTCTGAGACCATCTGCAGATTCCCCAAGAAGGACCTTCTGACTGCCTGGCTGTAAGGAGACACTCTGCCCTTACGTAAGACTTATGCAAGGCTTTCTTTTGTCTTTTTGGTTTCTTACATTCCATTTTAAGTCAGGCTAAGCTGTGTGTGCTCTTACTGTGATTTACTGGGATGCATCTCAGCTTAGGTGAAGATTTTTGGTTGTTCTTTGTTGTGTGCTTGAGGTTGCAAATTGCTGTGTTCAATACATGGTCACTTCAGAAAAAGGACTATTCTCATTCAAGCTTTTATGAATTCAATGCCACTACCTTTTTCCCCACCAACCCCCTCTTCAGCCTGGCAGGGGTTCCCTCTCGTGTCCAGAGCAGCGGGGGAAGAAGCCTGGCAGGCACTGCTCTCTTACCCAGGAAGACTGGGGCTAGGGTCCCATGTGGGCCAGGGAGGAGATTTAAACCCCCACTCTCCAGTGTGCTAGCCCTGGGCTGGGGGCTGGCCATGCCCCCTCTGCTCCAGGAGGAAGCAGGGAAAAGCCTGGGAGCTTCAGTCCCTTCCCTTTGGCAGAGGCTGGGAGGCATGCTCACTGCAGGCATATGGCTGCATTTCTTGAATCAAAAGTGAATGTCTGTTCACTTGCTTCTCAGTTTAGACTCACCTGCAAAGCCTGAATAGATTCAGCCTCAGGCATTTTGACTGTCTGTACTTAGCCTCAAAATCTGAGCTCTAGGGTATAATCCTTTCCCAACGCTTTTTAATATGTTTTGTACTGATCTGCTTTGTAACAAAATCTTTCACCCTCTCTTTGTCTCAGTTTCACCATTCATGAACTGGGTATTTATAATGCTTACTCTTATTTGCAAGTCTTTTGATGATCTACAGATGAAATGTGCTATTTAAATGTAAAGTATGATTATCTATTAAAATGACCGTGTTGCTTTGATGTTTCTCAAGAATACAGTGCTTAATACTGGACAGATATCAGTGTTGTTTAAAATGGGATGAAAAGGGTACATTGCTACCTTTCTTATTTACCTGTGCCAATAAACAAGACATCATATTGCCCGTCTTCAGCTTCCACTCTGTCCACTGCTATTTGTTTGAGATTATACTTCCCATCTGTTTTAACAAGTATTGGCTTTTTATGCACTGGCCGGACAGGCTGATACATCAATGGATGGCTTCTCACAAAACGGACAGCTTCATCAGGATAGTCTTTGGTGGTACTATAGAGACCACCATTCACTTTGCTGGCACACTGCACAAACACAAAACAGGTGGGTCATAGACATGGGTGTTTTTGTTAATACTGGCTTAGATGTTGAATGAGGGTAGTGATTGCCAGAAGTCACAGCATGAAGAAGAGCACGGAAATGCTTGAGACTTTAGGGATTAAAGAGGAGTCTGCTTCATGATCACTAATTGGAACCATTTATGATCCGGTGGACTGAAAGATCCAAATAAATGGTGCTGGATTTATAATGAGAAGTGGGAAAGGGAATGATCAAGCCTCCTAGAGTCTTCAGATAGAAATGAGTAAACTCCCATTGACTGAGTCTTTCTCACAGAAACATATGATTCAACCTCAAATATTTATGTCAGATCAGAAGCAGTTATACTCCGTTACACTAAGGCTTGAGTATTATCTGTTTGCATCTACCTGTGCATGTACATGTGCATGCACACACACACACACACACTGTGGATGTACTGTATAATGTATCCATACAAACCCACATGTACAAGAATGCTTATCTACCCTCACACTTGTATACAAACCCTCTTTTATAACAAGTTTTCCAGCGAATCCTAAAATTTTCATTATGACTTACATAAATTATTGATCCAGTGTCTTCAGCTGATCAAATTATTCAAACTTTTTTTTAAAAAAAAACAATGGTTTTTACTACAAAACTGTTCATTTCAGTGAAAATGTGGTATACAAACATTTTAGACTTTCATGGGGAAAATAGGACTTCTTTCCTAACCATGTTTTAAATTGAAAATGGTCAACCATGTTTTTCATCCATCAAAAACCATTAGAGAAAGACATGCCCTACTCAGTGCTGCTGGCCACATAAAATGAGCAAAAAAAGGATGTTTGGTATCAGTCTTCAATTCATGTGGACTGCAAAATGTGCAAGCACAGTTCAAAATTAAGCCACCTTTAGCCCCAGTAATTCTTGATCTCAAAAATCTTACAGTGTTATACGTGATTATAATATCCATTTCATAATGACAATATTACATATAACAGCTTAGCCTGAAATCCAAGTGTTACCCAAGATCACCCTGTCATATTGCAAAGCAAATACACTTTAGGTTAAAGATTGAAACAAATGTATTGTTTGAATTAGATGTACTAATAGGGTTAAATGGATGTTTTATACAAAAAAACTTAAATTTAAATATTTTGTGAAGAATAGGATATAGTATTTCCTAACCTAACTTAGATGCTTCATTTCAAATTTGCCTCATGATCACTAATTGAAACCATTTATGATCAAACTGGAAATACTTCAGTAACCATTCACTTCCTCCAAATCTCCATAAGATATTGTGGTTTTAAGAAGCATTTCAAGCAAAGCCACAGTAGCAGGCTCTCCCTATTTAAATTGGATTTTCAATCAATAAAACGAAAGAAAATACTCTTTTTGTTTACTGGAAACAGTCATTTTAAACTTGCGGTCAACTATAATTGACAATAACAAACTCCTGCACTTGTCAAACAGGGCAATGTTTATTTCCACTTTTCTGGGCTTGGCTACAGACAAGTATTTTTTCAGTGTTGACTTTGAAGTAATTGTCTAATCAACCTAGTGATGGAATTTCACTGGCTGTTTGCAATAAGGGGAAAGAGCATAAGTTTTAAGACAAGCTAAACCTCTGCCTATGCACTGTGCGGTCCAGGGAAAGCAGTGCCAAGTGCTTTTTCAAAGTTCCAGTTTAGGAATGATTTGGTAAAAATAATCCTTTGCAGGATTTTCTTTTTCATTAAGTAAAATAAGGCAATCTAGAAAGCAAACAATAGATGCAGCTACTACCGAAGTCTACTGCCACCATTTCTGAAATAGTGGACATCATTCTCCTAAGTACCGCAGCATCACTCATGGGCTCACCAGATTACACAGCCTGGTTGTATACATGACAATAGCAATATTGGAGGACTGTACAGACCATAGAGTCTGTCAGAACTAGCGTGGCTCTACCAAATATGTGAGCTCTGAATTTATTTCATTTTAAACTGCTTTTCTCCTTTGCATTTAGTCACCCTCTAGACCCATCCAACAGTTGAAATCGATGGAAGGTGATTCACAGAGGTGAGGAGTTGAAGTAGTACTTTTTTCACTCTGTGCCACACTGTAGGCATCTATATGAGATGCTTTACCATGCAGTTGACTAATTAGCTCCACAGTAAAGCATCAACATCTACATGTGCAGCACTATTAGTCTGTAGTAAGCTAATTAACTCCACAGTAGGACAGTACTGCCCAACACAAGTTACTTACTCTGCCACAACGCATGTGTAGACAGTGACCGGAACTGGCTAGGGCCCTAGGGTGCTACAGCGTGGGGGCTGCCTGCTGGCTAGCTCCATACTGTAGCACCCTTATGCCCCAACCAGCCCTTCTGCAGCTCACTGAGTTGAGTTGGAAAAGCTCTGGATTGGCAGGCTGACCTCCCAGGTCTCCTGCTAGCTGAGGCTGTGCTGCCCCAGCTCAACATGCTGCAGGCCTGGGAGCACATGGAAACGCTGAGCCATGGAGCAATAAACTCCAGCGCAAACTGCACCCACTCAGATTGAGCAGAAAGTTGGCAATGTGAAGAGACTGAACCGCAAACCTGTTCTTGAAAATCTGCTCTTCAGCTCAGTGAAGCCTAAAATCCAGATCAGGTAATGGAGCAGCATTAAAGGGTACTTAAGGCCCTTGCTACATGTTATATATTACACAATGAGTTTAGATGAGCCACAAGTGCAAAGTAATTATCACAACACAAAAGTGACTATCCAGCTATAAAGTTAGTGCTTCACAATGTGTAACAACTCCATAGTTGGTTTCTATCCAGCTTTAATGTGAACGTGTAGCACAGTCCTAAGGTAATAAGTAGTCAAAAATGGGTGACTGGGTGAATTCTCAGCTAGCTGAAGATAGATCTGCCAACTCCTCCATCACCAGCGGTGCCCTCCAGCCCAGGGAGCTCATAAGACTCTGTGAACTGGAGCTCAGGATATCTGAGCTCTACTTCTGGCTCTAGCACTGACTTGCCATTGGGGAATCTCTTGCCCTTCATTTTCTTGTCTGAGCCATTTAAACTTTAAGTCTCTAAGGGCAGGGGCTGTCTCATATTTATTTTACTAAATCCCTAGCATGAGAGCAGCCCAATCTTGATTAAGGTCCATGTGGGCTACTGAAATAGTAACAGTGGCATGTCGAGGGTGTGTCAAGTTAGAACAAAGAAACTTTGCCCTGTCCCTCCATCACTGTCCTGATCTCTGCTGCTAGTCGCTGAGGGTTTAGCTCAAAATGTTTATCTTTTCCCCTCAATCAGCCAGCTTGGTGCTAGTAACTCACCTAGACATAAGTAGTTAGATTGTCAAATTGATTTCAAAGGACTCCTAGTAGAAACGCAGACAATAAAGTTGAATTCTTGCAGTTTTAGTCAGTCCTAAGTCAGGCATGCAAGGTGCTTTGCTGCCTGAGAAAAGGAATGAATAAAAACTTCAGAATTTGGGCCATGAGGAACAGCTCAGAAAAAATCTAATATTTGTGAAATGTTTTACAGTTAGTATGTGGTGCATTTTCATCTCCTTTTAATTTTGTAGGATTCTGTAAGAAGCATAATTTCTCATAGTAAAGAAACACAAAGAAAGCTGAGTATTTCCTCTTTTTTCCATTGTCTGGCTGAAAAAATGCCATGCTACATACCAGTTCTTCTACCCTATCTTATTACCAATGACTTAATTTCACAGAATCATAGGGAAGCAGGGCTGGAAGGGACCTGAGAGGTCATCTAGTCCAACCCCCTACTTGAGGCAGGAGCACCTCTATCCAAACCATCCTATGCAATCCATAATCTACACTCTACATAAGATTACCCTGACACATCTGTCACAACCCAAAGTTGTGATTTTTGTTTTTGTGTGTGCTTTCGCTCCACTGAATTATTTTCCCGCTAAATTGCAGATTCTTTGCACGGTGGAGTTTTCTGCTGTAAAAGAGAACCCCGGGGCAAGGGAGAATTTCCCACCAACTTGTAGCTTTATTTGCATGGTGCATTTCTTTTGCATCTAAGAAATGCTCAGTGCAAAGAGTTCCCGCCATTTGTATGCTAATTCGAGCCCCATTATTGGCTTGCGTGAAATTTTTCACACGTGGCGGCTAGTGATTGGCTTGCTAGCCGTATAAAAGGCTTGGGTGGTTTCCGCCCAAGTTGGAGAGAGAGAACTTGAAATTTGGAGAACTCCAAGGGGAGCCCCCGCAAGGGAGGACTCCACGAACACCAGGAGGAGGAGACTTCACGCTGTGTGAAGATCTCTAAGCGCTGCGAAGCCTATTGGACCCAGTGCATTTCAAGCAGGCAACAGGGGTCTGATCAGCCTCTAGCCTCTCCCCATCACTGATAGATTCCCCGACGT